TGTGTTATCTGCCTAACCGTGCACATACAGCTCACCTCAGGTTCAGCCTTTAGTTCTGGAAATGTTACTGCAAGAGGATCCTCTTCCTCTTCTGCATCTGAGACTGCTTCAGCTTTTACATTCATGGCCTGATTTGCATTATGAGGTGTTGGGTATGTCTCGCCATATGTATCCACTAAAACGTTCTCTGAATTTCTACAGTGCTGTAAAAACCATCACATCTTTCTCAGAATTGGATGCAAAACACCACATAAACAGCATATGCTCTCCTTGCTATGGCTGCTTCTCATTACATCTAACTCATAGGAGCTGTTTTCTACAGATTTTCTTCTCTACATCTATCAAGATCATTAGAAAGTATTTGGATCATAGCTCAGTGACCTTCCTGAGAGACAAATGGTCACTGCAAGAAGTACAGAAAATATCTGCTTTCTTTGGTACCTAAAAACATCATAATGAGGAGCTCTATAACTTGTAACCTTCGTTCACCAAGCATAATTAAAATTATAAAGTCAAGGCGGATGAGATGGGCAGCTCATATAGCAGGCATGGAGAAGAGGGATGCATATAGGATTTGTTGAGAAAAGCCAAAAAGAAAGCGACCACTAGGAAGGCATAGGCATAGATGGGAAGATAATATTTAAATGGATCTTAAAGAGACTTAGGATGCGATGCTGTTTACTGGATTCAAATGGATCAGGATAGTGACCTGTGACAGGTTCTTGCGAACACGTTAATAAATTTCGGGTTCGATACAATGTTGGGAAATTCTTCAATGACCAAGCAATTGGTATCTTCTCAAAGTCTCACTCAGCTCCATGAAGTTATTTGTGTTATCTAAAGGCTCATTACTGTGGTCACATCCTCATCATGGCTCTGTATCCTAAGGCAATCAGACCCAGTACAAACCCTTCCAAATTATTTCTGTAAACCCTATCTTAATAACATCTTTCCATTCGCACTTAGGTCTCCCAAGTGGTCTTTTTCTCATGTGTTTCCTCCAAAACTTTGTATACATTTCTCACTCTCGCATGTGCACTACATGACTTACCCACATCACCCTCCTATATAATACACAAAACTGTTATAATGTCTACACCCAAGTGTAAGAAACTCACCACATAGATTATGCAAACAATCAGTAGCAGGTGACAAAATATATAGTTTCTTTGACCAAGAGAACTGACATATGAAAATAAATTTCTTGTCTGTGCACACAAACACAGCAGGAAATGTTTGTGGGGTTCATTGTAATTAGCTTACAAGAGTTCTAGTAATTTAAATTCTTGGTTCTAATAAGTGTACCAGTAACTAACTGCAAACAGTTCCGTAACTCCATAAGGATCTTTGCTGCTACAGAATTTCTCTGAAATATGGTTCAGTTTACACAAAATTTAATTTCATCTACATCACAACTGATTAAAAAGAAATGGAAGTGGTACATCACAAGCAACATTCATTCAACAAAATATTAACTGTCTAGAGACACTTCAGAAAAAGGTCTTCAAAGGCCAGCCAGCAGCACAGTGGGGATGTTTCCTCTGCTCAGACAGCCACAGAGATGGAGATGACAACTGACATGTTTGCATATTTGTGATATCTGCCTAACAGTGGACATACAGAATCATACAGCTCACCTCAGGTTCAGCCTTTATCTCCTGATTTGTTATTTGCAGAGGATCTGCTTTCTCTTGTGATTCTGAGACTTCCTCAGCTTTTATATTCATGGCCTGGTTTGCATCATGACTTACTGGGTATATCTCACCATATGGACCCACTAAAAGCTTCTCTGAATATGTTTTTATTTGTCACCCCATCGAGACTATAATTTGGTTGTTATTTCCATTCGTCCCGGGGTCATGAGGGACTGCTGCAGCATACAGTTCTCTCCAATATGAAGAACCATGTAAATTCCCCAGATGGATCATAAAAACTAAACAAAGATAAGTATAAATGTTTAGTTTTTAGGCTACGAGAAATGAAAGTTAATAAAATTCTTCCGCGCAAACAACACTTACCATACTTTCTCTCACAACAGGATATATTTCTTCAGCTCTCTGTAACACAATTCTTGGCACTTCTGTTGCAAGAGAATGCAGAATCTATCATAACCTTGAAAATTTTTCTTAGCGCACGTTTTATGGATTGTAAATGAATTGACTTACTAGAATCCTAGTGATATATCATCATATTTCTAACAAGTATACCTGTGCCTAGAAAAGAATCTGCAAGGAAACTTACTACCGAACGCTGCCGATTTTGTACAAACAAATACTAATCGATTCTGTCACGCTTCTTTGTTCTCATAGCAGTAAGCTGTTCGTGACCTTCGTGACGTTCGTGCCGTCACTGCGGTCACTGCCAACCCTGCCCACTACCGACATCTTGCGCACCACTGACGAAGGGGTTCGGGTGTTCGGGTGGGTGGACGACACAGAGGACCAGAGGACACAGAAGTGGCTGAGTAGCAATGACATCATGGCCACGGCTACGAACATTGCCTCTTGTCGGCGAAGTTGCCGCAATCTTTTGCGGACGGAGTGTCACGTGGTCAGCGCAACGGATCCCCCACGGCCGTTAATATGCCATTTGAAATACCTAAGTTCTGAAGGATTCAGACTGAGTTTTATTACTTTTAATATTAATGGACTTATGACTTTGTCCATCATCTGACATTCCAAACAGAACGCACTGTTTTGGAAAATGGTTCTGTATCTAATCCTCAGGTGAAACAGTGACACGGTGGCAGGCTGCTTATTTGTGTTCTTTGGAATAAGCTCGTCTCAGTCACAGGACAACTAACTGTATGTAAGCACCTAGAATCAGATTTTGTTAATGGGAGATAATAAGCAAGGAATTTTGTAAAAAAAAATTAAAAAAAAATAAGTTGGGAATACCCAGGAAAATCTGGTATTGGGTTCTTATGTAGATACAGCTGACTGATTTGGGTTGTCCAGTTATCCAGTGACTGATATTAGCTCCTAAAATGGACCCATATGAGCAGATGCCTTCGTAACATTTCACATTTTTATGTTTGGAATGTAGATGGTGGGCAACTCCAGAAACCCAGTAGTAACCAAATTCAACTATGTTGCCTACTTTCCTGAACAAGTTAGTGCTTATAGCTAGTAATGTCAGTTAAAGGCGCACACTACCCTTCACCCATCCTACATTTGAGAACATGGATACTAGAACATTTAATCTTAACACAGTCAGTAGTTTTGTGGTGTGCGTTGCCACGTGTTGTGATAGATAGTTACCAACATTATTGAACACATAGCCTTACTTTTCTTCCCTGAGGATTGAGGCAGTATGTTCCTCCAAAAATCTGGTAACTGTCTACCAGATTACCCAGTATCATATCCCAGACAATCACAGTCTTATTATTCACCTCTGTGAGAATGTCGACTCTGGTACCATTAATCTTATGCCATTTTTGAGTGAGCGGGTGCTTAGGGAAAGTGACTGTTTCCATGTTCAAGGTGCAGAGTATTTCTATGATGTTTCAGGCAGTACCATGAAGATGGGCCGAGCCATAGCTCAAGCGGTTAGTCGCTGGCTTCCCACCATGGCTGCCCGGGTTCGATTCTGGGTCTGGTCAAGTGGGATTTGTGGTAGACAAAGTGGCGCTGGGGCAGGTTTTCTCTGAGTACTTCAGTTTCCCCTGTCAATCTTCATTCCACCAATTGCTCCACAATCACCCTCATCTATCATCTGGGGCTGGTACAATAGGCCAGAAGTGGCTGCAGTACAAGGGACTTAGTCCCACCCCACTAGCAATAAAAGAAAAAAAATAATACCATAAAGATGTGAGAGCCAGGTTCTAATAAACACTGGCAAACCATATGTAAGAATTGAGGATTTTACCAAGTGAGGAAAAGTCACGTTGTGGTCTTCAGGGTTACTGCACCATGTAGTCTGATAGATAGGTAGCAGTGTTTCAGAGGAAAATACTGCCTCCATCGTCATAGTGGCAGTATGTTCCTTTGAAATGGTTCCCGCCTACCAGACTGCATGGTGTCACAACCCAGAAGACTATAAAATGCACCTGGAAAAAACAGGATTAGCTGTAAATTTCTAAGCTGAAACTTCTGCCAGTGTTATGGTGTGAAAAAATGTCACCAGTTTCCATCTGACTCTTCCAGTAGCAGAATTTGGCCATCAGAATATATGGCTTTAGTCAGTGGCTGTTCTTTGAGTGAACCTTGCAGTCTTGGGTCAGAAGGCTGTAGGATCCATTCCTCCCTAGTACACAGTATGTTTTTCATTGCTGAAGTGTATGATTTGCCATCTGTGTAGGTTTGCCTTTCCCACTGAGCTAATTGCTGTTAATTCTAAAAGCAAAGTCCCAGATTTATGAGGCAGTCAGTCACTAGGACAGGTGTTTTTAATCACATCCCATCCATCCTGTTGCTTATGATCAGTTTTGCTCAACATACTCATGTTAAACTGCCATAGCTGAAGAGATTGGCTCAGTGCTAATCATTAGTACAGCAATTCTGTGAATAATCAAATGTGATATACCGCTGTTCAAAGGGAACAGCAGGCTTTCACTGATCTCATGATGTTTGATGGTCATTTGAGAAACTGTTGTCACATTTTAATGACTAGACACAGGATTCAGATCTATAATTGAATTGATTAGGCACTTACTTCTCCTAAGTACAAATAATTGTAACACTTTTTTTTATTCTTCACCATCGTAAAATAGTTACAACACTTTCCACGTCTCTCCAGTCTGCCATATCTTTACATACATGTTGTTTGGTAATTGTGTCTAACAATGGACATTCTCTCTACTGCTTCTGTGCTTGACAGCTCTGGCCTGGTAGGTCAGTTAAATAGCTGCTGCCTTCACCAGCACAATTATTCCTGGTGTCAGCCTCCGCAAGATCCATGACCAAGATTTTTATTCTCTCCTATACATGTGCATGTTTCAAGCTGGGGCCTACTCTTCAATGAAAGAGCAGTTGGTCTTTCTATGTAGACGATACTGTGGTTGCACCATAATTTCAGCAAGAGTATATCTGTGCTGTCATGGCATCTAGCTCACTATGGAGTCTGTGCATCCTTTGTCACTGCACTATAAAAAGTAACATTTGTACAAGGTATACAGAGGTCTCCTGTCAATGCAGGTTATGCCTTAACTTATGCAGCTACTCTGAAACTGCAGCTAGTCAGCTGAATGGTCATAGGCCTTACCACCGCCAAGTTTAAGCCTTTTACACTTCCTGTGCCTGGCTTCTCCTTGTCCAATGCCATGTACATTTGGATGCGCATGGTTTATGATTAATTCTCCCTGTGTCAGCATAAATTAGTTATATAGTCATACACATAAGGAATTTTGAAAGCCACGTGATCCCCTTTATATAACTTTGAGGGGGATGGATTTGAAAACTGCCTCCAGCATCTCCTCCAATGTTGTGTATGTATTCATTGCTGTGGAAAGATGTTTAACAATACATTACATAGTGGACTGCACCATGGTTCCATCACAAAGACAAAGGAGCTATGTTCTTTGGAAAACAGACGCTGTTTACTATCAGAATTATACAAAACACACAAATATGCTGCAGTCAGAGTACTCTGTACGGGAAGTTTGCTGATAACAGCTGCAAGAGAAATAGCAAATTATATGTTAGATATAGTGGGAGCATAGAAGGCTGGATGAGAGATGGGTGGCACTGAACCAGCAGGCACTTATACACATTTCTATAGAAAGAGAAATGATAAGAAAAGAGGTAAAGCAGGGAATATCAAGAAGATAGCATTAATGAGCTTGCAACAGACAGTAATATCATGATTATTAGAAACTTACAAAGAGGAATAAACTAATTTAAGATCTGGAACCCAAACACAGGAATAATGTCTTCACGAACGGTCATAGTTGTGGGATGGCAGCAACACAAACACCCCATTATTTTAGATATCTGACTTCTTGCACGTCAACAGCCAAACAGCAAATGTTAACACACACACACACACATAAACCTCCATGGCCTGTAGTCTGCAACTTTTACCTTTACAACTACCTTTTTATTTAAGAGGCGATAATCTACCACCATGAGTTATGCTAACCATCTTACAGTGCACACACTTTTTCACCTTACTCTTCTCTTTTGCTCTACATGTTTCAGCACTAATGTGCCATCTTCAGGTGCGTTTTCTCTATGCACGTCTAACTACTGCATTGCATGCCCTGATGTCTTCATACTAAAATGACTAAAATATATATTCATCATGTATAATAATAGCTTTTAAATATTAAAACTTTTCAGGATTCGTCATCCTTACGTCTTATCTCAATACGCGAATCACGCCAATCCTCCTCTGTGGGTGCACTCTTCCTACATTCATGTGTATTGTGCTCTTTGTTGTGTCTTGCTCCTGTGACTGCGTGCGTTATAACGCAACAGGACGCTAAAATATAACATTATCTACCACCATCCTACAGTCACCGTGGGGTTTGGGCACTAGAAAGGCTGGGCTAGCATATTGGGAAGAGCTTCTTCTAATCACTCCTTTTGTAGCAGGTCCTGGACAATCTCCCTTAAAATTTTCAAAGGGCAGGCAAACACTGGTATGGCCGCGACTGCACAGGGACATTGTCCATTAACTCCAGGTGACACACAGTTCCTTTCGCAGTGCCTAGTTTTTCAGAAAACAGGGCAGGAAACCTCCGCATCAACTCATTGATTTCTGCAGAGTTATCCAGCACCTCTTGCACACAAGGGCACACAGGACAACGAAACACATCTTCAGCGCAAGGGATGCCTGCAAGGATCTAGAAAGCAGAATTTGAACTATTTCTCTGAGTGGAACACAGAAGCTATATTTCCCAGTCGCAAAGTCCATTCATACCCAGGCGCGCCTACAAAGTCAACTCCCAGGATGCAAGTGCTCGAAAATCAAGAATCTAACTTTCCAGGAAAAAGACTAACTTGATGGTCAGAATGATGACTTGCGTGATGCTGCAGGACTCTCCATTAGTAGCCTGGCAATGTTCCTCTGTCATTTCAACCGTGCAGGGCAATCCTGACTCTTTAATTTCATCCAGGACATCTTGTCTCATGAAGGAGATGGACACCCAGAATCAAACATGGCCGGTAAGCGGAAGTTCTTAATGCTCAAGACCCACAGATTACCGTTGCACCCCGCTGAATGATACGACTCTTTTCGGGACTGGACTAGCCCTGGCACTCGGGATTGACCCTCTACTCCCAAGTGCCTAGGGCGTTTCCCGACATGCCAGTATTGCAACTCGTACGCCCTCATCACGTCCCCAGCGTCTCGCTCTATTATCGACTCCAGCTGGAGCAGATCCCGTCACCACCATACTGCTGGAAGTGTCTCCAGATAGACAGAGAGAGGTCTCTCCTTCAC